GGGGCTGGCTGGCGTGTGGTGCTGGGGGATTGAACCGCGGTCCCTGTGCTTTGCCAAGCTTGTTTCAAGTAGGTGCTTTAGACCACTGAGCCATCTCTCCAGCCCAAGGTTGGGTTTTTTTTTTTCCAGTACCAGGGATTGAACTCAGACCCTTACGCTTGCCAGGAAAGCACTTATTTTACTGAGCCATCTCCCTGGCCTTTGGTCATTTCTGAATCAGTTTTTTGTTTGTTTTCATTTTTTGTGAGATGCTCACTTTGTAGTACAGGCTGGCTTTGAATTCACTGTGTAGCCCAGGCTGGCCTTGAGCTTGTGGCAATCCTTTGGCCTCAGCTGATCCTCTGGATTCAGTCCTTGAATTCTGGGATTACAAGGCTTTGCCACCATGCCCAGCCTGTTCTTTAGTGGTGGTATTTTTCTTCTGTCCCTTATATATTCTGGCTGTTAGTTTTATGAGATGTATGATTTGCAGATATTTCCCCCCATTCTGTTGCCGGCCCCGGCCCCGGCCCCGGCCCCATTTTTTTGTTTATTTTGTTTTTGAGATAGGCTCTCGCTGTAATTCAGGCCAGCCTTGTACTTACTGTGTAGCTCAGGCTGCGTTTGAACCTGAGATCCTGCAGCTCCAGCCTCCAGAGTGCTGGGATTACATGCATGCACCACCGCACCTGTCAGGAGTGTCTTTTTTGGGGGGTGGGGGGGGACCGGGGATTGAACTCAGACCCTTGCGCTTGCCAGAGAAGCACTTATTCTACTGAGCCATTCCCCTGGTTTAATTTCTTTTAGGAATGTTTTATAGTTTTTTTGTGCAAATCTTTCATTGCATAGACTTGGTTAATTCCTAAGTGTTCTATCCTTTTTGAAATTAATTATAAATGGGTTTGTTTTTTTTAATTGCGTTTTCAAAAAGATTGTTCATTGTGTATAGAAATGCAATTGATTTTTGTGTGTTCACTACGTATCCTGCCACTTTGTTGAATTTTTAGTTCTAACATCTTTGTCTTACAATCTTTACAATCATATCTCTGAATAGAGGTACTTTTACTTCTTTTTGATTTAGATGCTTTTTATTCCAGTGGGGTGTGTGTGTGTGTGTGTGTGTGTGTGTGTGTGTGTGTACTAGGAATATTTTTTGTTTTGTTTTGTTTTTTGAGACCAGGTCTCATTACACAGTTTACATTGCCCTTGAACTCACTATGTAGCCTCGGCTGGTCTTTAACTCAGTGGTTCTCCTACGTCAGCCTCTTGAATTTTGGGATTATAGCATGCACCTCCATGCTGGGCTTTGTTACTAGGAATAGAATGGAGGACTTTTACAGTGAGAATCTCTAGAACTTTAGAATCTTTTTCTTTTTAAAAAATTTGGAGGCATTATCTCACTGTTGCCAAATTGCCTGGGTTAGGCTTGAATTTGTGATCCTCTTGCCTCTGCTTCCCAAATGCTGGGATTATGAATGTCAGCCACCACGCCCAGCTTCCACAGGACTATGTTGAATAAAAGTGGTAAAGTTAAGCCAAGACTGTAGATTTTTTTCTTTTTTCTTTTTGGCAGAACCAGGGATTGAACTCAGGCCTTTGTAAGCCAGACTCTGTAGTACAGCCTCGTAATTCCAGCTACTCAGGTGGCTGAAGCAGGAGGATTGAAAGTTCAAGGCCAGTCTGGACAACCTCATGAGACACTGTCTCAAGATAAAATTAAAATGGGAGGGTGGTGGGTAGGATGTGGTTTATTTTTTCCATAATTTTATTGAGAAATAAATAGCAGTGAGACAGTTTTAAATCAAACTGGTAAGACAGTTGCAATATTTAACACATTGCATACTGCGTTCCTAGTGGTTATTTGTTGTACCAGATGCAGACATGATATCCTGTTTGCAAACACTATTAGAACAAATCCCTCTGTTCATTGAATTAAGAGAATGTAGCCCCCTTTTTTTGTTTAGTTCTGTCATTTAAATATTATAGGTATGTGAACTCGGAAAAATATTCCAAAATAGTCCAGTAGTCCATAATAGTATTGGGTCTTCTGCTTGACTGGTAATGTCAGAAGCTGTTGACCTGAGTCCCCTACAGCTCAACATAATAGCATGGCTTTACTTTTTTTTTTTTTTGCAGAACCGGGGATTGAACTCAGGCCCTTGCACTTGCCAGGGAAGTGCTTATTCCACAGAGCCA